GAAAATGGAAGCTCATGTAGATGCACCCTCAGGGAGATAGTCAGCCTCTGCAGAGGGCCAGCAAGGCATCTGGGGGGTTCTGCTGTCAAGCTCAAATGCTCCTGTGAAGATTGAAGTGGTGTTTAGTCCTCCAGCTGGCCCTCAGCACAGGAGGACATCCCCATCAGTGCTGAAGGAATGCCATGGAAGGAATGTCCCCCTTTATACTAGAGTTAGAATAATTGTACAAATATTTTCCCATGCAAAATATGAACCAAGAAGTCATGAAGCTGCTCAGACCTCTGGAAGTTTGACCAGTTTTCCTTTTCCTGAACTGATAATCACCTGTGCTCAAGAGGCTGGACGGGTTTCGGGTGGTCACCTCTTGGCTACCTATTACTGCTAAGAACAAGCAAAATGGTTCCCAGGCAGCATGCACAAGAAAAAAAAAAGGAAAATAATAAAAATGTACCTCATAATGATTATTATAGTTCCATTCTTTCATTTGCAAGAACTCACATTTGAAAGAAAGAAGCAATGAGTATCACGAGATAAGGAAGCATTAATGAGCACTCTGCCTTGGTTTCAATTACACTGTGAAATTAATTTAATGCACTTTAAGGATACAAGAGGTAATCTCTCTCTCTTGGTAAGAGGTTGCAATTTTCTCTAATAAAGTGTCAATATAAATATGTTGCTTTAAGACAGGGAGAACAAGTCAGTTAATTCAGAAAGAATGGGACATATTAAAACAAATGCTCTCGAGGAAAGCAAATGGCAAACCCAATAAATAAACTGTCTGAATGAAAATTGTATGGCAGAGAGCTGGTAAATTGGGTTTAATTAGAAACTTATTTTTTAAAGAGTGTTTTATGCTAATGATATGCATCCAAGTGACTAATGCTGTGAAACACGACACAACTCGACTCCAGTAATCTAAAAGAAGAGGAGTAGCCCATGTGAGGAGGGATGGTTGTGGCTGGAAGTGGTAAGAAACCTGAGACCAATGGATTTGAAAATAAATACATACATAGATACAAAAGGTTAAAAATGTTGGTGGGTTTCAAACATGCTGGCAAGGTGGGGAGTGGCTACACAGACTGGACATAGGGAGCTTTCTGCTGGAGTGACAAATGGCACCAGAGCAAAGGTGAGTCCTTGCCACCAGCCCTTCCCACTGCCATCAGCACACCCTTATGCAGAGGCACTGCATGGGAGGAAATGAGCTCAACAGACACAACTATTAACCACCTGCTGACCCACCTGGGGATCTACTCGCCCTGCTTTGGAGGATGCACCAGTGCTGTCATGACCCAGTGCTTTGAAATGCTGACATGACCATCCTGCCCCTGACATTTAATAAGCCAATCCACAAAGATTTGAGAGCTCTTTCTTGCCATGACAAGAACCAAGTTCATCTAAGCAGGAGCAGCACACAGAGAGCTGTGCAGAGAGTGTCTCACTAGAGAGCTGAGCTGAAAAGGGCTTGATCTGACCAGCCTATTTCTTGTTAAATGGGGATAGGAGAAAACTGGGAAACCTCCAAAACTTCCTGCAATGGACTAAAACTCTTTGTAAGGAGTTATCTGCTTTCTTTTTCTTGGTGTAGATGCAATGGGACATAGAAAGCAAATTGCATCCCAGCCTGCTGGAGTAGCAGCAGTGGAACAGCCTCACAAGTGATTAAAGCGACTCAGCTTCTGAACAGGTGCCTTGCAGCAACACCCAAGATGTGTTATAATCCCCCAGTAACACATGCCTAACACATTTCACTGCCTAATTACTCCCACACTCACATTTAGTGCCCTTGTTAATCCAGTACTTCAAGAAAATACTTGCCTTGCTTAAACATGTCTCGATCCTAATCTTCCTGTCACTGGTGTAAATCAGAGCTCATTTCACTAGTGTTAATGGAGTTACTGCAGTGGCAAATGTCTAGGAATGGAAAAATTAGGCCTAGATCCCAAATGAACATTTAGTCTGGCACCAGTAGTGTGTATTTATTTTCTTGCAGCAAAACAAAATATGCTTTTTCTCTGCTATCAACTCAAAGCAGAGCTTTTAAGAGCTGTCAGTGCCAGGATTAGTCCTGACTCCAAAAAAAAGAGTTTTTTTTTCCAGATTCCTACCAAAGATACAACAGTGGTATTCTTGCTAGCAGCTCTGATGGTTTCATTGAAGGCAGACTACAGGTTTGCTCATTCAATCCTCAGAAAGACAACGATGCAAATAAAGGTGACTACAGGGCAATGCCATTAAGGATAATCGATATAATGAGCAGACAGAAGGCAGCACAGGCACAGTAGGTCATATGGAACATCCCAGCTATCAGCCTTTGATCAGGACACAGTGAGATTACAGTTTTGTGAGTGTCTGTGCATTGCCACCCAGCAGAGAGAGGACAGATATGACATCCCTTCCAGGGGACAGGACGGGGAGTGCCTGAGTCCCCCTGTTCAGATGGAGTTCATGTATGGTAGGAATTCAGCCTCATGACACATGGAAATCTGAAACTATGGGAAAGCTCCAAACCACAGAACCACATTGTTCAGCTCCTGCTCAGCTGCTGACTCTGCCCAGGTGCCAGCAATGGCAGATACTGTAGATTTATCAATGCTACAAATCCACTTGAGATGTTGCCTTGCTTGTGAGCTGCAACCAGTGCTGCATGTTTGAAGAGCTAAAACTGCATAAAATCAGACACAACTGTGGCTGATTTTATATATTCCAGTGTCCATGCTAACGGTCAGGCACTGATGATTACAACATTGCAATTCAGAGTGAGGACAAGAAGAAAAGAAAAAGAATTTCCCCAGAGATTTCTGCACTCCACATATAGGAATAAGAGATCTGCCCTATAAATCAAAAGTGATATAAATTGAGACAGCAAGAATAAACACTAGCACTACCATCATTTCTTGTCCTTTTCCATTCATGTCAATCAAGAAGAATCCTGAGGAATAAGATCACCAAAATGCAGTAGCTCCAGACATCCACAGGCTTTACTCATCTCTTTTTTTATCTCTTCTCAAATTAATACAAACAGGAGATCCTTTTCTAAAATGACATGACATTCAGAAACAACAGCATGAGGGTGACTTATTGACCCTTCCTGGTGACCTAACAGGTAAATGAAAGTTCTATCAGTCTGCAGAAGTCAACTGCAAATCAAACACTTATGTGACACTTTTCTGAGGTACCCAAATCAGACAGTGCAAACAAAAGGTCACATCAGAATGGGATTTTTCAAGCTATGTAAGTTTGTATTTTCTTTTGCATAGTCACAGAGAAAATATCTTTCCTCCTAGCAACAATATTCTCCCACAAGCTCCAGAAAAGTGAATGAGCGATATGGAAGCAACTATGGGTTTCCAAAAAAAATTTAATGAATCCTGTATTTCTGATCTCAGGAAAAAACCTCTAGTCATGCTCTTGGAAAACCTTGTGGAGACTCATTTCACCCAGACTTGTCTTCCCCAGTCCTGCTCTTGTTCTTTCTACCACCAGAAAGCCAAAATCAGGTATTTGAAATGGTCACATCACTACCAGCTGGAAAAACTGAGAGGAAGGAGGAGACACTGAGACACATGGAATGTCTGTAACCCAGAGAATGAATTAAATAAAGACTCTACAAGGAAAATTTTAAGAGGAAAGCAACAAGAGGATATGGGGAGCACCAGAGTGACAGATGAGAAGGAGAAAGGGGAGAAATGGCTCATCCTCCTTGGCTTTCAGTGGTGACACAACTGCTTACAGCCCCACCAGTTTGCATATCAGAGCTCAGCAGGGAAAATACCTGCACAGGTAGGAATTTCATGCAGCACCTGCCACCCCAGTGCCTGGCTTCCTGTGACAGCCTGGGGGTGTCTCCATAGGAATATGGAAAAGTCCCTTTCTGCTATCCAGTGACTGATAGCTGAGGCCTCTTGGAGCCCTCAACTCCTCTGCAAATGCAGATGGAAACAGCAGAAAGTACCTTGAGTTCATTATTAAATTCTGCCACAAGTCAGAAAGGAGTGAAAAGAATGTTAAAAATGGGATGGTGCCTCCAAGGTAAAAAAAGTCATGGGTTCCTGCCAATTTTGGTTAACTCTCAAAATCTGCCACAGGCAGCAGTGCAGGAATTTGACATTACAGCAAAGCAGTGAGAGCACAAGTTGGCAACCCTGAGTTTAGGAAATGGACAGTCACCTGTCCATGGGAGACTCACTCCATGCCCATGGCATTTCCTTACAGCTCATTCTGAGTCTACAACATGTGTTGGGAAAATCTTTTCACAGCTGCTCCTCTGTGCTACAAGCAAATTGGTGTCTGACATCTTTCTGGCAAAGTAGCCCCTGGGGTGATGCTGAAATCTTTAGGAGAGTTGCTAAAAGCAACTGCAAACTCCAAGAAAGAACCCAGACATTGTCATCATTGGCCCCTCAAGAGCTACACCTTGTGAAGCAACCTGGGGCTTGGAGCATTGTGTCTTGACTGTGTTTGTCTTGGGTTTGCTCAGTCTGATCTGTGTGACCTGTCAGTATGGTCTATTCTGAGCTAACCACAATGAAAAGAAGGGATGCACTCCCCTAGTTTGTTGAATTATACCATGAAATTTGTGTGATGTAAGAGTTGTGCCTGCTGTGTTCAAGGTTAGGCTTACCAAGATCTCCTCTTATCTACTTTGTACAGTTGCAGAGAGAATGAATTTAATAGGAAGTTAATGTCACTTTTTCAGTGATGTTCTGCAACAGCAAGAACAGTCCTCAGGACAGAAGAGCTGACAACAGAATAAGGGAAAGGAGGAACCACACAGAAAGATACCCTGTGTTAAAAAAAATAACAGAGTCCACAAATATAGTGGAGTGGGCCTGGAAATTGTGGTTCTGCCTTTGTAATCTTCCTTAATAGAAAAAAAAAAGATAGAAGAAGAAATAAAGAGGCAGGTTCTTTGGATAGTAACTGTAATCAAGTTGTGTCACCACTGCAGTTTTTACATTACTGGCATTGTGCTTTGCAGGGAAGAGAGACCCACATACCTTTTGTTGCCAGCCGGACACAGTTGATTTTTGTTTCCTGAAAAATAGAAAGAAGAAAAGAAACATATAGGAAAACATCAAGGAGTGTAATTTTCCCAGCTCAAATAAACATACATTCCTTTAAAAAGGCACTAAAAAGGCACTTCAGCTTTGAAAATACCATCAACAGTTTTCAATGCATAAAAAACTCCACTCCACTGGACTTGCCTACCTCTGAGTGTCGAGGAGTTGTGAGTGACAACACGTTTCTCCACGCTCCATGTGTGAGTGATGGGTCCTGTGTAACTGCCTGATTAACTAATAGAATTTACCAGTTAAATGACCTGCTCTGTAATAGACTGACAAGCCTTGGGTCAAAAGTACATGCAACTGTACAGCTAATTTTCATGCACCATTACTGCAAATTTTGCAAATTGGGTATTTATTTAAACACATGGCAAACAGACACTGAAGGAGTCATTTGAATATCTCTGATGGATGTGGAGCAGCTCAGCATGCTGTACAGCTGCCTCTGCCAAAGGAGCTGTTCCAACAACCCACACCACTGCAGCTCCTCATTGCAGAGTGGGATCAAACCCAATGCTTTGTGTTCAATCCACCTCAGAGCCTGCAGAGCTGCAGAAACAGCAATTTGGATTGGGATGGTGATGTTGGATTTGGTTTCACCAACAGCTCAAACTCAGCAGCCCTTCTGCTCTCCCCAGCTCCTCATTCCACAGCCCTTCTTGGCAGGGTTGCTGCTGTCCAACATACAATTGCCATCCAAATCACAACGTGCAGCTTGGTTAAAGCCCTGACTTTGTCAGGCAGTAATGTGCTGCAGGAGGTTTGGAGCACTTTATGTCTGTCCACACTCTTGTACATGTCTCAGGTGTAATGAACACTGCATAATTACTGTGTGTAACAATGCCACATTAATATGGATGCTTTCTGGGCTCTGGAAACAACAGCCTAGCAATGCACTGCTGAGCATCTCCTTCCACCCTCAAACAACAAGACAAACCCTGGGAAAGTCTGAATTTACTCTTGGAGAAAATCTCTTCCATCTGTGACAGATCCTACTTGGCCAGAGCAGAGACAAACACACAAACAGTCCCATTGTGCCTTTCTCCTCACACTTACATTGCACATAGGGAGGAGATGATTGCAGGATTAGAATCATAGAACCATCAAGGTTGGAGGAGACATCTAAGATCATTGAGTCAAACCATTAACTTGCCACTCTGCTGTAACCCCTAAACCATGTCCTCCAGTGCCAGATCCAGACACCACTTAAACAATTCCAGGGATGGAGACTCCAACACCTCCCTGGGCAATATTCCAGTGTCTGAACACCCTAACAGGGAAGAGGTTTTTCCTAACATCTAATCTGAATCTCTCCTATCTCAGGTTATGGCCATTTCCTCTAGTCCTCTCACTACAGGCATGGCAGAAGAGACCATCAAGGGGGATCCATGCTGAGTGCACTGGGAATCACAGGAGCAATTCCACCTGATCCCTTTTTGTGATGCCTCAAGACACCAGAGCCAGCCACACTGTCTGGATATAATTGACCCTGTGTGTAATCTAGAAAACTATTCAGAAGGACAAACCTTCCCTTTGATCTTGCCTTCAAACTGTCTTAGGGAACTCCTGGATCCTCAAGGACAAACCATGTCACATTTTCACAGCCACAGAGGCTACAGAGTGGGACTGAAGCACTGTTATCCCAATAAACCAGAGACATCTCTCTTTGGTGCACCAACTCCTTCCTCCCTCAAAAATCAACAACCTGCACGACCAGTGGCACTGCAGTCACCACAGCCTCACAGAGCTCCTCACTCCTCTCTGCCTCGTGTTTAAACAGTTGGAATTGTCAGTTATTCTGGAAATCCAGAGTCTTAATTGCTAGTGGTTATATACAAAGCAGGAAAAATGTAGCTTGGTTTTCAGAGCATAGTCTTCTCATGTAATGCTGGGAACTAGAAGACAGAGAGATTCTGATGTAGTTTCTGATCTACAACAAAATGACCTGGAAAATCAGTAATGAAAAGTAAACTAAAAAAAAATATCAAGATAGCATTGTTGCAGTCTAAAAGAAGGTGGACACTTGCTCACATTTTGCTGCGGAAAATTTCCTTGTGTATTTGTTTCTTTCTGCTGCCTTCAAGGTGTAACAGAAATCTGGAGAAATTAATCAATGCTGAGAAAAGAAGAGGCTAGAAAATAAACCCCAAAATCTTGTTAATGATGCTGTAACTGATCTCATTTGAACATGTGTGTATTCCCTCACGATACCCTCCCAAGGGGTGATTTGGAGACAGGATTCAGCGTGTTCTGTTTGCATCTACATCCACTAATAGCTGCATTTAGCAGAAACAAGCAGAGTTATTAAGAGCCCATGATCTGGCACTGCCAAAAGCAAGGGCAAGCAGTCACTAGAGGAATAAGACATCTGGACTTCAGAACTTCATTTCAAATTACATCTTCTGGGAAGGAAAACAAAAAGCCTGCACAGACACCAGGCACTCAGCTCCAAGGGATGCTAAAGTTTAAAGCTTTAATTAGTCTATAATCCTGATTAGGGCTGATTAATCCATTGATTTCCATTGATCACCTCATTGATCACCTCACTGCTCATCTCTTTCGTGTCTCAAAAATGAGATCTCCAAATTTACTCTATTTTTCTTTGATGAATGTTGAGAATTGCAAGTTTGCATGAACTTTTTACCAAGAAATTGAATAAATAAGTACACTTCCCCCCCCAAAAGAAATCCCCAAACCAAAAGAGTAAAACCACTTTCCCATAATCATGTTTGTTTTCTGAAGAATATTATTTATGATTCTGACAAGGTGTTTTCCTGTACATAGTACAGTAAGACGCTTCTCTTTAGCCACTAGCAAAACAGGAATAAACAATGTGGGTAATTCTCAATGATCCATCCAGATAGCTTAAAGCAATGACAATAAAAATAATTAGAGGGATAATACTAGAAGTTTCAGAAAAACAGAAGTAATTTCCCCAGATTTCACTCACTGTGTTGTTTGTGAATGTTCTTTCAAGCTCTGATAGTTAATTCCCATTTTCTGGTAGCACAGAAGTTTTCCAAGGCCTTATATGTCCACAAAAATCATAATGATGACCCAAGCTCCTCTATATTTCCATATTTATTTCATATTATGGCTGAAGTCACAGGAATAATTTAAATTGAGATGTCAGTAGCACTACTACTTCAGCTCTATATCACTGCCAGGTTGAGGCAGATGTTTTATATCCAAAAATAATACAATTTAGGCATATTTTAACTGAGATCCTGGAATAGGAAAACACTTCATGAATACATCCTACAGCTTTTGATCCAACCTTCATTTTCCAATGTGCTGCATATCCAGAAAGCTCACTGTGTGATAAGCCTATCAACATAATTACTACAACTTATTTGTGGCAATTGTTCTCTGGAACTTACTTCCATCTGAATACAAGATGATTCTGGTGTGCCCTCAAGGCTGAACCCTGGCTGTATTTCGAAGTCCACAGACACAGAGCACATGAGGACTGTGTTTCACAGTGCTGGCAAACTGTTCCTGGGGGGCAGACCCAGAGCTACCCTTAGAATGAGCTGGAGACCCTCTGGAGGACACAGACTGTGCTGTGGAGCTGGGTAAACCCTCTCTGCCAACACAGCTCGTGCCCACAGCCTTGCAACTCCACACCAGGAGCCTGTCCTAGCACCCCTCTGAATTTTCAGGGTTTTTAAATATTCTTTTCATATATCTTGTTTCCTCCTTTTAGAAACCAAGGGAGCTGCTGCTGTCTACTAATTGCTGAGGTTCCTCAATGCACATTTCACTGAAATACACTGGATGATAACAAGTTCTGCCTCTGTCTCTTCAGTGTTTGGATGGGAACAATTTGCTGCAGAAAAGGGCTATGGGGGCAGCAGGACATATGTTTATGTGACAGCTGCATCTTCACAACCTAAAAGGGCAAATGACTTCTTTTTCCCCTTTTCTTTTAAACTGACAGCTTGCTTTTTACAGACTACCAACAACAATAAAAGCCACAAAGCTTTCTCATCCATCTGTTTTCACTCCCACCATTCTTCCTTGCCTTTCCTGTTATAATGACTTTACAGGAGTTAAACAGTGCTTGCCTTGTCTGAAGAACCACCTGTCAGCACCAGTGGGACCTGCTGTCCCCAGATGTACCATTGGGGCTGCCCTACAACAGGCACAGTTTCAGCAGCAGCTCAACCTGGGGACAGGCCCAAGTTCAGGGGAGCTCTAAAACATTTGTTTCCTTTTTATCCCATTAAAGCCAATGGTTTGCTGTCTCAAAATAAATCACGTGCACATGCCTGTGCAGGGACAGTGAACTCCCCTATAATTTCTATTGCCAGCTTCAAGAAACTGCTTGTTCCTCCCAGAGACTAAGCAAAACCTAGTATTGCCTTTCCAATTACCAGCTATTTTTAGTATCTGTGTCATTGGGAGAAAGGAGGTTTAACCAAGTGCTTAGGGCTTTTATTATTTACAACAGGAAGTTATTTCAATGATCTATAGTTAATCATTGAATGCCCACTCCTCTCAACCTCTCAGATGTCAGGAGGAGGTTGGAGGAGGATTTTATTTACTACCTGGAAAACACTCAGGTCCACATGCTCTGGCCAACCACGTGTGGAAACAAGGGCTTGTAAAGAGTGAAGTGCTCCCACAGTTGCTTCATTTCTGCCCCAGCAGCTCCAGTTTGAGACTAAGAAGGAGTAACTAAAGTGGACAAATTATACACCTGAAACCCTACTGAACACAGAGCTCCCCAAATCTGGTTAATATCTCACAGAAGCAATGCAGGCACAGCCTTGGTGCCATTTCATTTTTCAGACCACAGCTCATGCTGAACCTAAGTACCTCATTGGCTTTTTTTGTGGCCATTTCCACAGGGATAAATGACTGCTGGCAGCTCTAGCCATACCTCCAAAACATCCCAGAAGAGGAATGTTGTGTACTGTGAGTAGACCTGCCAGCATCTAGAAATCCAGCCTGAAGTCCCCTGATAATAATGAGCTGCCCGATTGTGCATGTAGTACAAGTCATTAGAGAGGAAAAAAAAATCAATAAGAATCTTGGTAGAGTCTATCATTCCCTCAAAAAATGATATTCTCATTGATTCATGTGGTGTTACTTTTCACAATTCTGGGTGGAAAACATCAGTCACCTGTTGGACCACCAGGCTGGCAGAGCAGCTGGCAGCATCCCCCACATCATCCCCAGCTGTGTTACACAGGCTCCTGCTCATCTCCCATTTAGAGGAAAAATGGCCAAGAGTTATTGATTGCAACTGGGCTGGTACAGATCTCATTTTAACTGCAAGAGGTAAAATCCAACTCCAGCAAGGATTTTTTGGGAGCTCTGGTTTCTGAGCTGCTCAAAAATTCAGGCAGGCTTCACACAGCAGCCAAAAAGTTCTCCCCATTTAGTGTGTTGCTGGATCAGTAACTAGAAACTGTAACCTCCAGTGACCCAGATAAAGAGCCTGCAGACAATAAAACCTGAAACATTTCACTTTGATTATTAAACCAGTATAAGGATAAGAAAGGATAAAGAACAGCACAGTGTTGCCAACCTGTCCTCACCTTTCAGAGGGATAAACACTGGCAGGGCTGGTGTTTTAAAGGGGCTGAGCTCAGGGAGGCTTTTCAGACAAGGAAAACTTCATGCTTGGTCAGGCAGCCATCTGTATCAGGCGGCACCAGGACAACCACAAACATCAGTTAACTACCTGGATGGCAGCAGCAGCGTGTGTGGAGATCCTGCCAGAGCAGAGCCAAGCCATGTGTCCATTCCTCTTCCTGTGCCACCTCTTGTGCTAACTCCTTCTATCAGCTAAACAGTAACTAACAGTGGTTCTCACCCCCACGAGCTACGAAACCTGAAGTTTCTGTGTCCCTCTTCTCTTTGCCCCCTTTCTTACTTCAAACTCTGACACATTTCAGCTCAGCATCTGGATTTCCACTGTCCCTAAGAGGGAAGTTCACACAATTTGGAAACATTTTGTATAATAAAGCAGAGAACCATCCTGTCTCACCCATGTTCTGTTTAGACCCTGTCTGGAGGCAGCACCACGTTGACCAAACTGCACCCAACTGCCCATGGACATCCATCCAGCCAGAGCCAGCTCTCTCATTCAAACTCTCAAACAACAAGCACAACATTGCACAAGAAGGCAGGAAAAGCTCGTGATCTGCCTTTGCAGCAATTTGCCACACTTGTTTTGCATCCAGCTGTTAATTATGTTCCTTTCACTGCAACAATCAGAGCTAATGGCTGCAGAGCAGACGGAACAGTGAGCGAGCACAGCCCTCCACGTACAGAGGAGCTGAAACAATGCACAACTCCTGTAACACTCCTAACCTCCTCCTAATCAAGCTTTTTGACCAAACACAGACTGTTTCTTCAAATTAAGCTCTCCCCAGAGTCCTCCATTTCCAAAGGAAGAAGTTCTGGTTCACTGCACGAAGGTTTCTCATTGCAGGTTCCAAGTGTGAGAAGAAGTTTCATCATTCCACAACTGTCAGTGATTAATGAAACTATAGAATAGTCTAATTAAAAAATGACTGGCAATGTTCTGTTAAGTTTTTAATGGGCAAGGGAACATAAGGCTCTCTTTTAATTGTGCTAAATTGCTGCTATTTCAGATTTTTTGCAGATGTGTATTATCAAAAATCACTGAATGGTTTGGGTTGGAATTGATCTTGAACACCAGCTCATTCCAACCCCTTTGGACCTTCCACTAGCCCAGGTTTCTGCAAGCCTCACCCAACCTGACCTCGAGCACTTCCAGGGCTGGAAATGCCATAATTACTGTTAGGTTTTTCCAAGACCTCTTTGAAGCTGCTGAGGTTACAGATATAAATGAAACCCCAGAACTCTTAAATACAAATGATACCTGTAAACAATTCTGGGAATGAAACAAACCTTACTATTTACACTGGATGCAAACTGACCCTCATGTTTGAAATGTAGAATTCAATGATTTTATCCCCAAACAAAAGGGATCACAGGTACTCTTCTGAAGATCCATAATCCAACTCTTGGGCATCTCCTCTCTATTTTTTCCCATAGCCTACTCTGAGGATATAGAAGCATATACCGTAGAAATATTAATTATTAACACAGGAGGAAATTGCTTTCCCAAACAGGAATTTACTGTGTCTGGCAGGATACTTCTCATGCTGTCATAAACTGTGCATTGGTGCATAAAGACTCTTTTGATTAACTTATGCTTAAAAAGCCCTTTACAGTCTTGTTCCTATTAGAACAGCCCAAGCAATTAATCCTTTTTTGAGTCCTTAGCACCTTGTGCTGCAACCTGTCAGCTAGAGAGATGCAGAAAAAGCAGGAGCTCCACATTAGTGCTGCCTGAATCCAGAATGCCAAGGGAAGACTACATTTCCATTCATACAACCCATTTACGGCATATTATATTGTACTTAAGCAAATAAAGTTTTCTTCTTCCCTGGGGATCCATTCACTAGCAATTAACTCTCACACAAGGGGGAACTAACTAGAAACAGAGAGACATATACATATATTTCACAATTTCCTTTATAAAGGCAAATCCAAAATTGAATTAATTGAGTAGTGCTGGAAGGAAACTATATTGACTAGAAAGGAAACCAAGGTGAAAACCAGCAGTGTATTGAGGAGATTTTGTGCTTGTCAGCCACACAGCTGAAGCTTTGTGGGAGAATGGTGATAAATGAAGGTAGAAAAGCACTGAGATGTATTGTGAACACTCAGTGGCATTGCCAGCCTGTTAAACCATGCACAGTCCTCTGCAATGTGCAGCTGCATGTTAGGTGTAAATGACACCAAGTGGAGACCAAAGCTTACAGCATTCACCTTTGATTGATTTTTCTAATTTTGCTCTTTCAGAGGTGATGTCTTAGTGAATCTATCTATGTTAAAGTTAGATTCCTGAAAGCCCTGGCAAATGTGCTAATAACAGACTCTGCTACCCAACCTGGGCATGCCAACTTAATGCTCTAAGACTCTTCATGAGGCCAGAGAGGCAAATTGGATCATGTTATGTGTAATGGAAAACAACTAGGGGAGTCAAAGGGGAGAAAGGGGAATGACTGCTGAGGGTGGATCTGGCCTGTACACTGTTAGCTGAACTGACCCCAAACAGGAGAGTTAAGAGAGAAGTTCACAGCTATCCTTGGCTGGAACAGGAGAGCAGAATAGGGAAGAGAAGCCTCTTCTTCTCTTGTGACAGGATCTGCCATGGGAGTCTGAGAGCAGAGCAGACTACAATTCCTGTGCATTCTGCACAGATTAAGATTCTGCTGTTAAGATTAACAGCACAGAGTAAATATATGTAAAAATATACTCCAGGCTATTCAAAGGAGCAAGAAAGACATGCACACAGTCCTCCTTGCAGTACCACTTAAGCTGAAACTCCCAATCATAAGTGCTACATTATGATATAACCAAGTGCAAGCTACAAGGTAATCCAAGTCTGAAGTTTTTGGGTAGTTCTCATCTCGTAATGTCTCCTACAAAACCACAAGTGCTCTGAACTGGATACTATCAAACTATTGCAGTTATGTCTTTTAGCAGCACAATAGCCTTTACTCTGACATTCATGCACGTGGAAGGAAAAACATATCCCAAATTCTAATCAACTCCTTTGGTAAATCACATACCAACATGTGCCTTGACAGAGTCAGGCGCCTCAACAAGTTTCTCATTGGATCTAGGCATCAGAAACTGAGTGAAGAACAAACAATGGCATGTTTAATTTTCATCAGATTGCTGTGAGCAGGTAATAAAAGGGAATAATAAACTAGCATCCAAAGAAGAAGGAAGGAGAAGGAGGATAGATAGGGGTGGTCATATGTACAGATCCAATTCAATTTTCTCTACACTTACTCCATTGGCCTTGCTAAGAGCCTGGAAGTATATGCTGTAGCTTTTCAGGGGAGAAAGTGGAGCATTCCAGTAGCCATTGTAGGTCTTGTTGTCACCCACGGTGAAGGGCTGTGTGACAGGCAGGTTGATGGGCTTCAGCTCAGCTGCAAAGTAGTGTGGTGAGTCCAGACTGGAAGCATTCTTGTAGCTCACTGGGACAGAGAAGCATTCGATGATGTCTGCAGCTCTCCTTGCTTTCTGCAGCTTCTCCTCCTTGACAACAAGTTGATAGACACTAGGAGTGAGAGAGAAAGGTGAGATTAGAGCCCCAAGAGCCTTAAATATCAGGAATGTTTCCAACAACAAAAGGAAAAGACTAAAGCAAAGTAAGAAACACATAGCTAGGGCATCCCAGCAGACAATTCTTGGCACACCAGTAACAGTGGCAGGTCACGTGCTCTGTTGATTTAGTTGAGTTTATCAAGATACACCTTGGTGAAAGTCAGAGTAGATTTCAATCATGTTACCCTTTAGGAAAAGGAGTAACTAATAAAATATCCAGTCTAAAATAAATTTTTTATGTGCTGAATATTGGAAAGCAGATGCTTTCTTCTTCAGCCACTGAGCTGATACATGAACTGTTGCCTTGAGCCAAATGGTGAGTGCAGTAGAGGAGAGCATTAGCAGGTGGCAATGGTGTCAGGTCTTTGGAAACAGTTTCAGGGTGTGAGAAACAGTTTAGACCAAAAAGACTTTTGCATCTTCTAAGAATATCACTATTTTTGGCCCTCCCTCATATCTCCATCTCTCCCTCATATCTCCATCCCCACATATGGTCCCTCACCCATACCTGGGTGGTGAGACACTGGCACAGGTTGCTCCTGTGGTTGCAGCTGTGGTTGCCCCATCCCTGGAAGTGTTCCAGGCCAGGTTGGATGGGGCTTGGAGCACTCTGGGCTAGTGGAAGGTGTCCCTGCCCATGGCAGAGGGTTGGAAAGAAATGATCTTTAAGATCCCTTCCAACCCAAACCATTCTGAGATTCTATGCTCTCTTGTTGGGATATCCTGGGATATAGAGTTCTCTACATTAATTCCTGATGGCAAGTCTCCTTCTACCTTCCATCCCTAGAGGACTACATTATATACTGAGGCTTATATACTAAACAGGTGGCTTTATATTTCTCCCAATCCACTTTTGTTTCAAGAAATAACAACTCTTCATATTCTTCCTACTCTATGAAATCTATGAAATGTTAATCCTTTTCGATTCCTGCTAAGCTTTTGGCCATTATGATATATATAATAGCAATCTTGTTATTTCTAGCTTACTATTTCAGGCTCAAAGAGCCTGCAAGGCATTCAAATATACTCTGCTTGCTTTTTTCTCCCTCCTCAGGCAGCTAACAAAGCCCTGAAGTTCAATGCTGCTACAGCCGAGGCAAATTATTGTCTGTTTAACACCACTCACCCATTTGACAAAGAAAGATAGGGCAGCAGTCATTTTACTTTGTGTCAGGCTATTCAGATGTGCTGCCCTCACCTGTCTGTGTCAGGCTGAGTCTTTGTTCAGGCAGACAGGGGAGATCGATTAAAAGATTGGGACCAGCCTGCAGTGTATCATTCTCCAGCCTTTCACAGGCTCATTGTTGCAGAAAGATTGGTCTGGAAAATTTCTAGCATAGCAATAGCTCATCAATGCTTCTATGGGAAGCAAAGTTCTGGCACCTCCAGCAAGCAGGAGTGAAACAAACCTCAGCTCCTGCCTTTGAGTTCCCAGTTCCTCAGGTCTGCAGAGATCTGGCTCGAGTTCTGCTAACAATGAGGTGGTCAGTGAAGCACTTGGAAACCATTTGGCTCCCACTGCTACACACAAAACCAACTAATCTGTACAAGTAGAACCAATTTATGAATTACTCAGTACTGAAGCTGTCCTTACACAGGCTGCTGCTAGCACTTGCTAATGCAGCAGGAGCAGCAGCCACAAGCACTGCAGCCTTTTAAATGATGTCCCATCAGCATTTTGGAAAACTTTCTTCATCCTACAGCTCATTAGAGCCTTTAATAAAATATTTTAGACCTTCTCTGATATTTATTTTACATATTTTAACAAGATAAACAGGCTTCCAAGCAACACTTTGAGTATTATCATCGAGGATGTAGTGTGAGCTGCAAGCAAAACCCTGTTTAGCACAAATTCTCTCCCCAGCTTAGCAATAGCAACTTTCAGCTTGCCATTTTCAATGCTGTTTACTAACAGACTCTCTCCAGATTCATACTCTGACTCTTCTCTCTGGCATTAATAATCTACACTCCTGGGAAAGTTTGTCATTTTTTGTGTCAGCAATGTGTAAAATTGCAGCTGACATTTTTATGGCCATTTACACATGCCTGCTAACCTAAAACTGCTCGGTTTCTGCTTTTACACTTGTATTTTCTGATTATAGAAAAGGTTTCCTTTAGGTATTTACATCAATATATAGGTATAAACAGATATTAATCTTCTTTCACTCTTAATTCCTTACAGGCTACACAGAGGCCAAGAGCTTCCCCAGTTTCTCTCTCTCCAGTGCCCAAAGTGCTCATTCTCCTGGTTATCTGACTTGCAGGCCATAAGCCCATACAGTGTCTGCCTTTGGAAAGGGGAAAACTCCCAGGAATATGAACTGCTAGG